GGATATCCCTGCTGTACGCTACCATGTCCGTCCTAGAAACAGACAATAACTGCATCTGTTAGTCCACATGTTCACACATAACCTGGGCTAAAGTTAGCCAGTGGTAGCTACATTTGAGCTGCATCAGCCAGCAGCATCTTGTTGTTAGGTGTCCTAGTTGTATCTGTGACATTATGAACATTAATAACAGTTTGTAAGAAGATTTATTTTCCTCTTTGCTTGACATTTCTGTGTAATATTTATTGTAGCGGCCTAGCTAATCAAGGTCTCTGCAAATAGCACTTTGTACTTTTGGTTAATTACAGAGACACTAAGATCACAGAAATGAGAGGGCTGATGATCTTAGCTGCCAGGATTCACATACCCTTTATTTACCAACTACATTACTAATCAAAATATCTCATCCTACCCAATCACTTGTATTCTCCACTTCCACCAGCTTTGCTCTGACACACCTACTGTAGATTCATGTCCTGTGTGAATGTGTTGCTTTTGTTTACACAATGAAACATTAGTATATTCATTTTCACAGTTTTCTATATTAGTGAGCTTCTGTGCATTTTTCAGGTCATTGGTTCCAAGAACATTTTTCATCTGAATCGTTTACTCTTTGTTTCCATAAAACTCGTGGAAAAGGACTTGTAGCTGTAGCTGACTGATAGAAAAGACCAGCTATTCTTGTCCTGTTTCTTTTCACATTGTCTTTGCTTTGCTCTTCAGTTAATTTAGCAGACATGTAAGAACAGTCACATAAAAGGATTTTTAAAATATCTTTTCTCTGAACAGCGATGTGCCACGTGGCTTCTACTCCATGTCTTCTACTGTATTTATAAGAGAAACCACGTGTTGCTACACACACCATCCTTTGCCACCATGGATGTTTACCTTGCTTCCCGTCAGGTCTCCTCCAGGGTACGAACACTGCTGTGTTTTGTTAGACTGAAACCAGTCCTTGCATGTTCTTTTATGAAGAATGGTCAAAGACAAATCTGTCTTTTGAGATAATTATTACAATCAATATTTAAGGCAAAATATTCTGGAAAAGCAATACAGAGCTCTGGATTCCGTCTCTTTCTGAAGCCCTATCACAGAGAAGTCAGTGCAAGCTGCTGCAGGAAGGCGGAACCACGAGTTTCCTCTGCACAGAGAATTTATGATGAGAGTCATGCAAATAATCTGACGTCAGCCTGGTTGTCCTTCATCCTCGTTCCTTGGTTGGTTTCTTGACCTCGATCTGATCTGACTCCTCATATGATGATCTTGTCACCAGGCAGATTTTGAATACCTGGTCTACTTCCTGTCGTGGTTTCCTGTAGATTCTTACAGCCTTACACATGTGTCCTACACTCTTTACAGCAAATGAAATGGTTAACACAAGTAAATCATAAAGCATATGATACTAAAATAAACATGTACATATATTTGCTAATGCAGATTATAATGTCAATCCTAGAATTTCATATGTTGATAAAGGTTGATAAATGTTGATAATCTGAAGCCAATACACTCAGACCTTACACCCATACAATATTCTCGTGCAGACAGTTTAGTCATCAGTATGTATCTCCAAGACTTCCTGTTGTTCTGAGTCTCTGCAGTTAGACACCAGCCTTTCATGAGCATAGGTCAAGTCTTTCCAAAGGTCAAATAGATTAAACAATTATTTAAACATTTTTGCAAATACATAACATAGCACTATATTATGGTATCAAGAATTTCTTTCTACAGTTTCTTGGTTGAGTCGGTTTTCTTACTGTATATAATGTGACAGGTTTACGTTATCTCCACCTGACAAAAAAGAACAAAGGTGTAGCCATCATCATCATCGACGTTATATAATCAATCAAAGGAGCAACTCAGACTTTTTTCTGGTTCACTCAGATAAATTCATCTTTGTTATAGAACCTGTTACAACAGGCTCAGCAGTTTCTCCTGACAGAGAAGTGGGAGCCATGCAGTGCAGCACATACTGTAGAGATATAGTTTGATAGTCAGAGGTGCTTCCCTGTGCCCCCCTCATGGCTGGCTGATTGACAGGAGAAATGTTCAAATGTCTCCTTATTTCAATTGACATGATCATAATACGTATTCATTATATAAATGAATGAATAAAAAAATATTTGTGTTTTCCTTTAAGTAGGTTTTCCTTAAGGTAATATCCGTCTGGCCAGATGTTCTCATCAAGCGCACTGCAGAAGTAACAAGAACTGCTTCCAGGTATCTACAAATGAAACACCATGAAGCTAGAGACATGATGTCTTTGGTTCAGTTCAAACAGACTCTGCTGCTTCTGCCTGTTTGAAACAGCTGGCTTCAAAAGGAGGCTGCCAGTCTGCTTCCAAGAGGACTGTGATACGTACTCTCAGGTGCCAGTTTAATAGGCACACCTACCTGAAACTAGAGAGGTGTTCATTCAAAGGTGTGATCATTTTGAGGCTGTAGTTTCTGGTACTGTTGAACTTTACTTCATTCCTCAGCCCTTTAAAACAGCCTGAAGACAAACTGAATGTTATCACATTCATGAAGGAAGATTTACTGCAGGACTGTTAGATTAAATTTAGCTACATGCATTAAATGGAACTAAATGTACCTAAAACAGACTGAGTGAAAGGAATGCAAAGGTGTTCAATAGATGCCTCTTGTTCATCGTGTTTCTATTATTCTACATAACGTGGTCACGTCTCAATCTTCGTTAATAAGCTTCATAAATAATTATTTTTCATGAGCTGTTTGTGACATCAGAGAAGATCAACCAGTGAATCCCCCAGTAATGTTTCCTGACATCTGAGAAACAAGCAGCAACAAAACAGCTGAGACAAACTATAAAAAGATGCAGGCAGCACAGAAATATTCATAAAAAGGTAAGCTGATATAAAATGATGAAATGCTTTGGATGTAATGTTAATGTTGCTTTCAGCTGGATATCTTTTGTGGTGCTATCAAAAAGAATGAGTAATATCCAGGATTAATGTCAACAGTCATCCATTTAAATCTAGATGTTCACTAAAGAAATATCACTGTTATCTATGGCACAGCTTCTCCTCTCAGACTGTGAAGAGTACTGTAGTGAACAGGTGAGCGATCAGGTAGCTGCAGTAATGGTTGCTGAGCAGAAACAGCTGGCACGACAACAGATCAGAGCGATCAGTTCAAACTGCCTGCATTTAGAAAGTTATCTGTAAACGCTGCCTTTGTGGACAACTGTACACACCACAGCTTCAACATGTTTTGATGATAAAAAAACGAGACTGAAATGCTACTGCCAAAAACAAGAGTCAACAAAAATCACATGGCTAAAACTTTAATATGATTTGCCTTTGTGAAAATGTTGCAGGTGAGAGAGAGAGAGAGAGAGAGCCTGCTGCCTATGAGCCT